ATCATCTATTTTCTCTGACTATGCTTTGGTTCGGGACCTTCGGAGAAGCAAGATAGGTTTTTGAGATGATTTAGTCATTGGGTTGTCTTCTTGCAGGTTCTGTGTGGTGCTTATGCCCCAGATGCATTCATGTGTTTATTTCAATCATTCAACTGAGCTGAACAGACATGTCCCCTTCCCTCATGGAGTTGATATTTTAGTGATTAAATTTGATACCTAGGTCTTTCTGATTCTGATTCAGCCTTCAAATATCAAATAAAAGGAGAGGTATTTCATGGCTTTGGATTTTGCTCTCCAGGTTAAGGGGATAGGGGTAGAAACCATGCTCACAAAGAGGGTGTAAAGAAGGAAGTACAAAGAAGTAAAATAACTCTATCTTCTTGGGGCTTAATGAGAACCCAGCTAGTCCCTGTGGTTAGTGGAGTATGGAGAGTTACTATAACGCTCATTTCTCATAAATGTATATGCCTTTGTTATTTGCATTCTGTGTGCTAAGCTCATTCCTGAATTTATTTCTCTTTCTCTTTTCTGCAGAAATGAATGAAGACAAACCAAATGAGAATAGGCAAGGTGTCTTTATTTAGAGCTTGCTATAGCAAAGGAGTCAGCCACCATCACTTGTGTTTTGGCAGAGACTGAAAGGCAGGCAGAGGGGAAGGGAAAATTTGTAGTGAAACAAAGGGAAGGCTTTAGGTATGTCCTGATTGGAGGCTGTTGGCATGGGGAAGCTAATTAGAAGGCTAATTAGAAGGGGCCTAATTAGAAGGGGGCATTCTATATGATTGGTCAGGGGCACATATTGGACTGTCTCTGGTTGGTCCAAAGTTCAAAAATTAGGCATGTTAACTTATTAATTAAATCCCAGCTGTTTGTGGTCAGTTGCTACAGAGATCATTGTTTAGCTTCCCAGCTGGTTGATAGATAGTGGTTTGACTTGTAGACAGAAGATTGGTTTCCTGGGCTGGTTACTATAGATGATAGGTTGGTTTCCCAGGCTGGTTGCTGCAGGTTGTAGGTCAGAGCTCTGTTTTTACATATAGTCTGGCCATTGTTTGTATATTCAGTCTCTCATTCATTTGTTTTACTTAGATTGCTTCATGTATTTTAACTTTTAAATCCTTTATTTTATACATATCTATTAATAGACATCAATTCTGCAACCTTCATGGTACATTTTCAAAAAACTTTTAATTACAAAATAATGCATGTTCACGAATAAAGAGCTTTAAAATAGAAATAAGGAAAAGGAAAAATAATTTTATAAACTTCCACCAACCGCGTCCCTGCTGACAATTTGCTATATGTTCTTCCTATGCATATGTATTAATATAATCTCATGGTACTTTGTATATTCATGACTCTCTTATATATAGTAGCTGGTGTGTATTTCTCCCACTGGGGGTTTGCAGAGATGAAGTGTATTCTTACTCAATTGTGACTTCCCAAACCTTGCACAGTACTTTGAACATAGTATATTCAACAAGTATTAATTGAATATTTTGTATTGGACCACATTAAGTTGTCTGTCTTGTAAGTAAAAAAAAATCAAATAATGGCAATTTGATGTGGTTAAATCTACTGGATGGATGCCTGGATGGTCGAACAGACAGACAATGGATGGATGAATTATAATGCCCTTTACCATTGTCTGTTCTGTTCCACGTAACTGATGATCTAAGCATCGATGTTCTGGATAAATGTGTTGTGGCCTCTTGACAATGATGGGGAAAATTCTGACTTCTGCTCCCAACTTAGTTATTTCTTCCACTTATTTATGACTGTTATTTAGCCAATTACCAAATGGCAGCATCAGTCCTTTTCATCTATATGTACATCAACTTTTTTTTTGTAAGACTTCAATCTCCTTGTCATGAGTAGGTGGATCATTTCATTTTCCAATTATTTGAGCTTCAGTTTAGGATTTTGGTTAATGGTTTTGCAAGACATTGATTAGAGAGGTCTTTCTTTCCTGATTAAAAGTATATATGATAGCTTTTCTCTAGCTCTCTTTTATTTGTATCTAGTAATTGTGGATATAAATATATGACTATGGAGATCTGTCACATACTATATTATGTGAATTTTTCAGGAAGCAGAATCTTTTTTTTTTTTTAATCATTTCAGAAGGTTGTCATTAGTCAGACTAAGGATTCTGGAAGTAAATCTTAAGTAAAATGAATTGTTTTCAATAAAACACTGTAATAGCACATCACTGCTGCCAACTCCTATTTAATATTCTTCCTATTGTAATATCTGTGTATAATATCTAGAGTAGAGTTGCTGTATAAATTATCTCTAAGGCTGTGGTCTTTAGGGCTTGGTGTTTAAAAACTATAATCAGTTGGTAATTTAGTATAGTGGATAAGAGTACAAGGTTGGCTGTCCCTACTTGTCTTTTCTTCCAGGTCTCTCTGTTACAAGTCCTTCTACCTCAGTATGTTATTTTCCCTCTTGGAGTCTTGTTACCTCCTATGAAAATGGTGCTGTAGACTGTTTGTGTGCCCCCAAAATGTGTACGTTAAATCCTAAACACGAATGTGAAGGTATTAAGAGATGGGGCCTCTGGGAGATGATTAGGTAATGGGGTAAAGTCCTCATAAATGGGATTAGTGCTCTCATAAATGAGACCCCAGAGAGCTCCCTCACCCCTTCTGCCATGTAAAGTTGCATGGAGAAGACTGCCACCTATGAATCAGGAAGTGGGACTTCATCAGACACTGAATCTGCCAGAGCCTTGATCTTGGACTTCCAAGCCTCCAGAACTGTGAGAAATAAATCCTTGCTGTTTATAAGCCACTCAGTCTATGGTATTTTGCAATAGCATTCTGAATGGACTAAGACAAATGGGGGTAGTATTATCTTGGATGATAAAGTCATTCAGTCTTTCATTCAATATGCACTCAGTCATGTGTCCAGACCTTGTCCTTGGCAGTGCTATTGGGTGGCACGATTCCATGCACAATATAGTTACGCAATACATTCACTTTGCTTTCTGTGTTCTGGTGATGCAGAGAAAAAGGAGGCAGGCAAGCCTTTTTCCACTCTCTTGTTCCATTGTAATATCCCTGGCAGTTCAAAGACATAAGTCAAATGTTGTAGTTGGAGGAAGGAATACTTGGGTTCAAATCTGTTATTAGATCTTGGGAAACTTCTGTACTCTTCCCTCTCAATTCCCTTCTGGGCAACATGGAAATAATAGTTTCTGCCTCTTTTACCTCCCAGAATTGTCCAGGCATTTACTTTACACCTGTTAGCAGTTTACACAAGTTATCATAATTTAATGAGATCATCAAATGATATTAACTCCTTGAGTGCCCCTTATAAACTGTAAATGTAGTAGTGGTGATTAAAAGTCTTACTTTTTAAAAAATAAAGCTCAGGTTGGTTTGAAGAAAGCAAACGTTTTTCCAGTTTTTTTTGGTTGGACAGTGAGGCATTCCCAGAGGAGTTTTAGGACACTTCCCTGCATTACAGGGAGATAATTTATCCACGGTATTTCCAGAAGGCATCACTCTCCAGTCTGCTTATCAGGATTAACTGGGAAACATCTTAAAAATATCCGTACTTGAGGGGCACCTGGGTGGCTCAGTTGGTTAAGCGCCTGACTCTTGGTTTCAGTTCAGGTAATGCATGATCTCACGGTTCATGGGTTTGAGCCCTGCATCAGGCTCTGTGCAGATGGCACAGAGCCTGCTTGGGATTTTCTCTCTCTCTCGCCCTGCCTCTTCCCTGCTTACCCTCTCTCTCTCAAAAAAAAAAAAAAAAAAAAAAAAAAAAAAATCCATATTTGGGTTGCACCCCGAGCGATTGAATTGCAATCCCTGGGGGTAGGACTTTTTAAAAAAATTAAAAATCACCTCTGAATGATTCTAATGTGCAGCCTGGGCAGAGAAGCACAGCCTCAAGAAATGTTCTAAACTAATGCCCGTGGTTTTGCCAGAAAAACTACTGAGCATTACAATTGTCCTGAGTGGACAGATCGTGGTTTGCCCAGCCTGCTTCCACCTTCCGAAGGCGGCAGCTGTGGAGAAACTGCGTGTTCAGGCCGCAGGATAGAGGGCCTGCCCTCTGCTCTTACAAATGGCATTGACAGCATTTCATACGTTTTACGGTAGTTATAAAGTCACCTGTAATTGAATTGCCTCACAGATTACAGCGTGCTTTCAGATGCATCATCTCCTTGAAATAAATCTATTTCTTCTTTGCAGATACGAGGAAACATGTGCTCATCATAGGAATTTTACCAAGTCTGGAAAAGTGAAAGGAGGAATTACAAAAATCTCTCAAATCCTGTTATCCAAAGACAACTATTGTTAATATTTTACAAATTTCCTTCCAGTTGTTTTTATTTTTTTTTTAATTTTTTTTTTTTAATTTTTTTTTTCAACGTTTATTTATTTTGGGGATAGAGAGAGACAGAGCATGAACGGGGGAGGGGCAGAGAGAGAGGGAGACACAGAATCGGAAACAGGCTCCAGGCTCTGAGCCATCAGCCCAGAGCCTGACGCGGGGCTCGAACTCCCGGACCGCGAGATCGTGACCTGGCTGAAGTCGGACGCTTAACCGACTGAGCCACCCAGGCGCCCCCTTCCAGTTGTTTTTAATGAGTTACAATGTCATCATAAAATCATGCATATTCATTGTGAAAAATCAAATACAGAGATTATAAAGCAAAAAATGTCCCTGTCCTCTCCCTAACCCCCCACCCACCCCAACCCCTACAACCACTTTGCCAAATCACATTCTTCAGAGGCAGACATGGTTAATGTTCTTTACGTGCAAACTCTTTTCAGGCTTTTCCTTCTACGTTAAAAAGTTTTTGCTTTTCATGGTCGTATTCTTAAAGTAAATTCAATTTCTATTCTGTTTTACCCCATTGAACATTACATCAGAAGCTTTCTTGAACATAATTTCTAATGGCTGTATAATATTCTATTGAGTATATGTATTATCATTTGCTTAATTATACGCTGTTGAATAATTGCCTTGTTTTCGGTTTTTCACTATGATAAATTCTGCAGTGACTATCTTTGTGCATAAAACCTTTTCTGTTCCCATCTAGGCAACTTCTATAGAAAAATCCACCTTCAGGAAGAGTATTCGTGGGTCACAGTGATGCTTCTTTCCATGACCTTGGAAAGTTTGGCCATGCAGGTACCTGTACATTTTATAGTAATACAGAGAAAGCGTCATGGGTCTTAGGATCAGATACATTTGTATTCAAATACCAGCTTTGCCACTGATTAGCTGAGTGACCTTGGAAAGTAACCTAATCTCTCTGACTCTCATATCGGCATCTGTAGTATATAGATAGCAATGCCTACTTGATAGTTATTACGAAGGTTATTTTGTAAGGCACTTAAAGTAATACCTTCCCTAAATAAATACTGAGTAAAAATTGTTTCCTCTACCTCCTTTAAAAGAAAAACAAAACTTTTTTTGCTTTAAGAAAAATTGAGGTAGGGGTGCCTGGGTGGCTCAGTCGGTTAAGCGTCCGACTTCAGCTCAGGCCGTGATCTCACCGCTCACGAACTAAAGTCCCGCGTCGGGCTCTGTGCTGACAGCTCAGAACCTGAAGCCTCCTTCTGATTCTGTGTCTCCCTCTCTCTCTGCCCTCCCCCTCTCACGATCTGTCTCTCTCTCTCTCAAAAATAAACGTTATAAAAATTTTTTTTAAAGAAAAATTGAGGTATAACATATACAGGAAGTTACACAGCTGTTAAATGTATAGTTTGATGATTTTTTACATGTGCATAAACCCATGTAATCACAATTCAGATCAAGATATAGATGAACATTTCTGTCACCGTAGGTGATTCTCTTATGCCCTGTACCCCTCAATAACCATCCCCACTTCCCAGAGGTGACCACTGACTTCTATCACCTTGAATTAATTTTCCTATTCTTGAACTTTATTTTTATTTTTTAAGCACATTTTTAAAAATTTATTTATTTAATTGAGAGAGGGAGGGAGAGAAAACGTGTGCAAGCAGAGGGGGAGCAAAGAAAGAGAGGGAGAGAGAATCCCAAGCAGACTCTGCACTGTCATTGCAGAGCCTGATTCAGGGTTTGATCTCACAAACTGTGAGATTAAGACCTGAGCTGAAATCAAGACTCGGATGCTTAAGTGACTGAGCCACCCAGGCGCCCCTTGAACTTTATTTAGTGGAATCATATAGTAAGTATTCTCGTGTGTACAGTGTCTTTTGCTCAATATTATGTCTGTGAGATTCATCCATGCTATTGTATTAATAGTTTATTCTTTTATATTGTTTAATAGTATCCCAAAGCAAGAATATTCCAACACTGACTTATCCATTCTCCTGCTGATGGGCAGTTGAGTTGTTTCCAGTTTGAAGGTGTTATGAATGCTTTTCCTGTCTATTGTAGACAACTAACACATTCCTTTTGGATATATACCTGGGAGTGGAGTTGCTGAGTTATGGGTGGATGAAGATTTAGTTTGGGTAGACATTTCTTTTATCTCCTCTGAAGACAAATTGTGAAAAGTTAAAACCATTCATTTATTCATTCAACAGATGTTTGTGAAGTGCTCTGTATGTATCAGGCACTGTGCTAAATCTTAAGGTAGCGGGGTCCCAGGGTTAGTTAAATGAGAGGTTCAAAGGTGTCACTAAAAACCACTCTTCCTTCTCACCATCTTCAGAGTACTTTAGAGTATTCAACCTCAGGTTATACCCTCACTCTCAAGAAGGCTGCTGCAGCTCCAGGTATCACATCATTACAAGATCTCATCCACAAACAAGAAGTAGGGAGAAAGAGCATCCTTCTTCGTGTGTGTGTGTGTGTGTGTGTGTGCGCGTGAATTTTGTTTGTTTGTTTATTATTTTTGTGAATTTTATTTTTTAATCTGAGAGAAAACTTTCCCTCAAATTTCCAGTAGATTTTCCTTCAGGCCCTATGTCATACACTCATGCTCTAGCAGCAAAGATGTCTGAAATGAAGTGTATTCAGCATTTTCTTTCCTGTTTTTTAATGTTTATTTATTTTTGAGAGAGAAAAGGATATTGACCGCAAGCAGGGGAGGGGGAGAGAGAGAAGGAGGGGCAGAAACCGAAGCAGGCTCCAGGCTCTGAGCTGTCAGCACAGAGCCTGATGTGGGGCTCGAATTCACGGACTTTGAGATCATGATTTGAGCCGATGTCAGATGTTTAACCAACTGAGCTACCCAGGCTCCCCTCCCTTTATACTGTTCTGATGCTCATTCTCATGTCACTCAATGTTGTGGGGATTTCATCAAGAATTGTTAAAATGAAAGATCAGTTGAGAAAGGTGAAGAGGAGAAACAAAGAGAACGCATTTCATGCGGTAATGGAAGTCTATGTAATTTATAAATTGTATGGCTAGAGAAATTGTAGCTTATTATTTTAGGATGCAAAAGAGAATGTGGAAATTGGAATCAGTTACAAGGAGATGTATTGCAGTTAGCCAACGTTTGTTGCTTCACAAATACATGAAAAAATACGATCGTGTGAAGGATATTGGATACCAAATGGGCTTTATTTTTAACTGTTTGTTTTAATAGCTCATGAAAATATGGCGGTGCTTTTTATGGCTGTAATGAATTTTAAGGATATGAGGCTTCACTTCAGCTTTCTAGTACTAAATCTTTTTAGTAGAGAGAAGATACTCAGTATGCTGGTATCCCTCCAAGCTCCTGGTGGTCAATTCCTCCTTCTGTTGCTCTTCATACTTTTCTAAAAATTGCAGGCTGTATGGGTAGAAGCAGTGACAATTTCAGCAGGTGGTTCCTAGGAAACTGGTATCATGCTCTGTGAGCCTCATTTGCCTTCCTCAAGTTTCTTTTCATTTCTTGAATACAAACCTTTCTCCCTTCCTCTGGAGGATGTATGATGGCTTTTGTGGCACTGGAACTTTAAAAGGGGGAAAATATATGGGTGTATTGAGACTCTTTGGTTTCAATATCAGAAATTCAACTTAACTTCTTGGCCCTAAAGAGAGACTTGATTGTAAGAGACTCTTAAATTTTTTTTTTTCAACATTTATTTACTTTTGGGACAGAGAGAGACAGAGCATGAACGGGGGGGAGGGGCAGAGAGAGAGGGAGACACAGAATCGGACACAGGCTCCAGGCTCTGAGCCATCAGCCCAGAGCCTGACGCGGGGCTCGAACCGCGAGATCGTGACCTGGCTGAAGTCGGACGCTTAACCGACTGTGCCACCCAGGCGCCCCTGTAAGAGACTCTTAAATACAAAAGACAAACTGAGGGTGGCTGGAGGGGTGTTGGATGGGGGGATGGGCTAAATGGGCAAGGGGCATTAAGAAGGGCAATTGTTGGGATGAGCACTGGGTGTTATATGCAAGTGAGGAATCACTAAATTCTATTCCTGAAATCATTATTACACTGTATGTTAACTAACTTGGATTTAAATTAAAAACAAAATAAAAACGAAATAAAAAAAGAGAATTGACTGGTTCGCGTAACTGAAAAGTCTGGGATATACTGACCTCAGGCATGGCTGGATCCAGGAGCTCAAATGTTAAAGGATTGGTTTGCATGTCTTGTATCTTGTCTGCTTTCCTCTGTTGTGGCTCCATTCTCAGACAGGCTGATCTCCAGTGGTGACAGGATAGCTGCCAACATTTTGTCTTCTCAGCAAACTCAGTACGAGAAAACATATTCTTTCCTCAATAGTTCCAGGAAAAGGTATGCACTCTGGAGGATGAAGGGTAAGGATAGGGCTGATACTGAGCCAGAAGGCACCAGTCCAGGTGGGAATACAGTTTGTAATTGCCATCAGATGGGGCAGTGCCTATACTGTACCTGGTGACTATTCTGAAGTAAGGGGAAGTGGCAAAGAGTTATCCTATTGTGCTTTTTACACTCTTATTTCATTTCATTCACCCAAATTTTAATTTTTCCTTTACCTCTTTCTTTGCCCTTCCAAAGTCTCAAGAAGCGGGTAGGCAAGATTCTATCCCAGTTGGGGAGAATAAGTGTGATACAATGGTCATAATGGTGACTGTGCGTGTGGCTAATGGGACCTGATTATTCCAGGCCCTGTATTTCATCCTTTGTCCAAGAAGAAAGTAAGACAAACCTCAGCTTCATTGGGGCAAGTGCCTAATGTCACATTCACCATTGTATTTCCAGCACATCACAGACCAGTGCCTGGCACAGCAGGAGTATTCATCAAATAATATTTGAATGCAGAGAAGAAGAAACGTGAGGAAGCAATACAATTTTTTCCTTATTGTCTTACAGAGCATGAGCTATGGAGCTGGAGTACCTGGGCTTAAAACCAGGCATTTCTAGCCCTGGCCTCACCAGCCGCATGACTTGAGGCCTGACACTTAGTAGAGAGGTAAGATACTCAGTTATCATAGATACTCCCTGTGGCTCAGTTTCTTTACTTGAAAAATGGAGATAGTAGTAGGAATTGTTGAGAGAATTAAGTGAATAATACACACAAAAAATACTTACATGGTAGACTGGATCTCTAGTCACCTATATCTAATCATCTATGGGAAGAATGTACCTCCCACTCCCTTTGAAGTTAAACTTGGCCTTGCAACTTGACTTAGCCAAAAAAATGTGAGAAGAAGTGCCATGTGTTCCTTCTGAGTGGAAGCTTTAAAGGCCAGTGTGTGTTTTGACATAGGGTGTGTAGTGAAGAATTTGGCCTTGCTCTCCTGAAATCATTGTGGCACTGTGTGTTAGCTAACTTGGATGTACATTAAAAAAATAAATTTAAAAAAAAAGAGAATTTGGCCTTGCCCAAAGAAAAGGACTGGCCTTTGCCCTCAGCTTCCACGAGGTACTTAACGTCATACTTGATAGGAATGTCTTTGGTGAGGGTGGGGGTTGGCCACACCAGGAAGACCAACCATGTGATTTAGGGTGGGGACCTTGGGTCACGTGTTGTCAGTCAATCATTCAATCAATCATTAAATCCTGCCATTAATCATGCCTCTCTAACCTCAATAAAAACTCTAGATGCAGAAGCTCAGGTGAGCTGCCTTGGTCAGCAATATTCTGTGAGTAGCATCAGGGATTGATGCTGGGAGAGTAATGCATCCTGAGGACTGCATAGTTTTGTGTCTGGAAACTTCCCAGATTCTGCCCTATGTGTCTCTTCCTTTAACTGTGTAACTGTAAGCGCAAAAGCTTTTGGCAAGTTCTTAGAGTCCTTCTAGTGAATTACTGAATCTGAAGGTATTTGGGGGAAACTTCTGAACTTGCAGTTGGTGTCAGAAGTGAAGACAATCTTAGGGATTGTGTCCTCAAATTTTTCAGTTTGGGTAATTTTCAGTTTGGTTAACTCTGAATATACGTTTCTGTTTTTTTCTATTGATAGGGCCCTGGAAGTGTTCCTGATATTGTCAGCTTTATCCGTCTGGCTCTTAGGATAAAGAGGATGATATGTGGGAACACAGTCCCCCAGCCCACCTGTGTCACATGAGTGAGAAATAAACTTTAATTTATTTAAAACAAAGTTCTGCTTATTTGGGGATTGTTTGTAGTCACAGTGTAACCTAACCATCCTAACTGATGTAGCCTGGCCAAGGGCCTGGCACATAGTAAACACTCAATAAATATTAGCTACTACAAATTAGTACTGTAACACGAATACCTTTTTATAATATAAACATCTATACAGATCATCTTTAAATTACAAGAAACCTTCCTAATAGTGTCTGTTCTTTAAATCTTGGGAGCTGAAAAAAAATACAATTCCCAAATGAAGTTCTATAAATAACAAGTGCCTTTTAAGTCCTTTACACGATGAAGACAATTGACCTTTGGAATCGCTGAAGATTTAGCATTCACAGCCTAGCAGCCATTTTCCCAAAATCCAGAGCCCCCAACTTCCACCCAGCAAAAAATCTGGAGTTCTCTTTATTTTTTTTTTAATTGTGGGAAAATACACATAACGTAAAATTAGCCATTTTAACCACTTTGAAGTGCTCAGTTCGGTAGTGTTAAACATATTACCCACTGTTGCGTAACCCATCTCCAGAACTTCTTCATGCGATTTTCGATATACTCCTCACCCTCGCCCCTAGCCACTCCCATTTCGCTCTCTGTTTCTATTAATTTGATACTCCAGGTACCTCCTATAAATGGAATTAAGTAGTATTTTGTCTTTTTGTGACTGGCTGATTTCGCTTAGCATAATGCCTTAAGACTCATCCATGTTGAAGCATGTGTCAGAATTTCCTTCCTTTTTAAGGCTGAATAATGCCCCATCGTGTGTTTATAACACATTTTGTCTATCCACTCATCCATCAGTAGACACCTGGGTTGCTTCCACTTTTGCCTGTTGTGAAGGATGTTGCTATGAACGTGGGTATACACGCACCTCTCTGAGACCCTGCTTTTGGTTCCTTTGTATATATCCCCGGAAGTAGAACTGCCACATCATAGAGAAATTCCATGCTTTAGTTTTTGAGGAACTGCCATACTATTTTCCATAGTAGCTACACTTTTATATTTCTACCAATAGCCAAAGCAGTTTTAAAGTCGATTCTGCATTGGAGGCAAGCCAGGTGCACTTTAGAACTCAGCCCCAGTCTACTCTTCCTAGTATCTCTTCCATCCTCGAAATAAGGGGATTAAAAAGAATCTTCTTCCTAGATGACATAGGTGGGAGGAGTTTTCAGGGGAGATTAACCAAAGTAAGGGAGTAAGCCACCACCTCCATTAGACTTCCTCAAAGCCTTGCCTTTTTTTTTGGCTGTCCACCTCCCAGCCAGTCTTCCTCTCTCATCCAGAATCTGCAAGGGATACAAGGGCTTGACAGAGCTTCCATATTTGATTTGCAACCATTACTCTTTCTCCTCTTTTCAAAAGGGAAAACGTTTTCTTTAAAGGATTATATGCATCTTCTTTCTCTCCATCTATTTTACCAGTACATGGGTGGTGGTTAGCCCAGGCTAATTGCTGGTTATTGATCTGTAACAAACTGCTGTGTAACAAATTACTGCCAAACTCAAAACAATGACCATTTAATTATATCTCATGAATTTGTGGGTTATGAATCCAAGTGAGCTTATTTGGGTGATTCTTCTACATCATGATGGTCAACTAGGGTCACCTGGTGGCTTTAGCTTGTGGGTGACCGCTTTGAAAGGCTTTACTCACTTGTCTGGTTTCTTGGAAAATGACTGGAAGACTGGGACCCCCAGCTGTCAGGGGTTCCCACACAAAGCATGCATGGTGGTCTCAGGGTGGTCAGACTTCTTACATAGCAACTTAGGGCTCGAAAGAATGTTCTAAGGACCAAGAGGTGAATGCTTCTAGTCTGTTAAGGCTTAAACCCAGGCACAGAGTAAGCTTTTGCCATATTTTATTGATGAAAACAGTTACAGAGCGCACCTAAATTGAAGAGGAGGGCACATACACCTCATCTATTGATGGGAGGCGTGGCAAATAGTTTTTGGCCATTTTTTTTTTTAATTTTTTTTTCAACGTTTATTTATTTTTGGGACAGAGAGAGACAGAGCATGAACGGGCGAGGGGCAGAGAGAGAGGGAGACACAGAATCGGAAACAGGCTCCAGGCTCCGAGCCATCAGCCCAGAGCCCGACGCGGGGCTCGAACTCACGGACCGCGAGATCGTGACCTGGCTGAAGTCGGACGCTTAACCGACTGCGCCACCCAGGCGCCCCGTTTTTGGCCATTTTTAATCTTTTGCACTATTTACATAAGAAGAAGGTAACAAGATTATGACTCAGGTAGAGTCTGAGTTTCACAGTGATCAAGGATGGGGAGATTAAAGGACTAGCCTACATTAGGTAGAGCAGAAGACTGACATACCAAAAAGTTAGCTATAGCCAAATCCCAAAACAGTGAGTGAAAGATTAATAAATTAAATGTTAAAATTACTGAGTGGAAAAAAATATATATAAGAAAAATAATATGTTTAATAAAGGGGTACTATTAACATAGAAAGAACTTTATAAATTAATGGTAGAAAATACATCTGGAAAAGCAAGGGCTCCAGTATATACAGAACAATCCTAAAAACCAAAAGGAGCAAACTTGAAGGACTTACTCTTTCTGATTTCAAAAATTACTACAAAACTATTGTAAATAAGACTGTGTGGTACTGGCATAGAGCAGAATATAGATCAATAGAACAGAATTGAGAATTAAGAAAAAATCAACTTAGGGTCAATTAATTTTTGACAAGGATGCCAAGAACGATTCAGTGGGTTAAAGATTAGTCTTTTCAGCAAATAGTGCTGAAACAACCAGATATCTACAGGCAAAGGATGGAGTTGGTCCCCTACCTCCTACCATATACAAAAAACAACTCAAAATGAACCAAAGACCTAAATGTAAGTGTATAAACTATAAAACTCATAGAATAAATGTTCTCTCTTGTCCTTGGATTGGACAGTGATTTCTTAGATGTGAAGCCTGAAGCATAGCAACCAAAGAAAAAATAGATTCATTGAGTTTCACCAAAATTTAAAACGTTTGTGCTTCACAGGACACTATTAAGAAAGGGAAAAGACAACATGTGGAATGGAAGAATTTTTTTCAAGTCATATATTTAATAAGGAATTAGTATTCAGAATATATAAGGAACTCTTACTCCTCTACATTAAAAAGACAAATTACCCATTTGAGAAATGGGCACAGGGTCTGAATTTATTTCTTCTTTTTAAGGAAAATATACAAATGGCCAATAAGCACATGAGCACATCATTTGTCATCAGGGAAATGAAAATCCAAACCACAATGAGATAGCACATCACACCTACTCGTACAGCTAGCAAAAGATGGGATAATAACAAGCCTTCATGAGGATCTGGAAAAATTGGAGCCTTCCTACACTGCTGATGGGATATAAAATGGCAAAGCTGGGGCGCCTGGGTGGCGCAGTCGGTTGAGCGTCCGACTTCAGCCAGGTCGCGATCTCGCGGTCCGTGAGTTCGAGCCCCGCATCAGGCTCTGGGCTGATGGCTCGGAGCCTGGAGCCTGTTTCCGATTCTGTGTGTCCCTCTCTCTCTGCCCCTCCCCCGTTCATGCTCTGTCTCTCTCTGTCCCAAAAATAAATAAACGTTGAAAAAAAAAATTTAATAAAATGGCAAAGCTGTTCTGGAAAATCATCTGACAGGTACTCTAAAAGTTAAACATAGGTTTACCAAATCACCCTCAATTTCATTCCAAGGTATATACCTAAAATAACGGAAATGATATAAACTGCTATAACATTTGTAGAGAGCAGATCAGAAATAGTTGTCATAACTTTAAATGTGCATATCCTTCGACCCATAAATTTCACTTCTAAGAATGTATTCTAATGAAATATATTAAGGCAAGAGTGCAAAATATGTGTCTAAGATATTCCCTGAAGTGTCATTTAGTAAATTTGGAAATAAAGTAAAATATCTAGCAATAGGAAATCAGTTATGGCATAATTTCTATCAGTCAGTGCAACACTTAGTACCTCTTTAAGAGGATATTGTGTTGCTGGGCTTTTTTTTTTTTCCTGTAGTTTTTTTTCCTGTCTTGTGGGGATGAACAGCCTAGGGCAAACATCTTTCTTATGCACCTCTGGGCCCAATTCCCAGAAGACGGACTGTGTATTTGAAGCAAAGGAGGAGAATGCGTGATGTTTGCAAATTCTTTTTTGACCGTTCCTCTGTGTTGGGGTGAGGCTGAGTTGCTTTTTATGTGTCTATCTGAGCGCTGGGGGAAGAAAGATGCCCCTCCGTGTCCTAAATGAGAAGAGAACTGTGATCAGGAGTGGACGAGGTTCACAATTTCAGCCTGGAGGAAGGTCAGTAAAAGAGGTAAGGGCAGCTCCCACCTAGGAAAGGCAGTCCCCACAAGCCTGCAGGATATCAGAGCTTACTTGCTGTCTGCTCCCAGATCACAAGAGAGCCTCCCTGACTCGGGGCCCAGCAACCCTAGGCAATCTACACATCTCACCTTCAGGCAGGTGGTTGGACGCATATGGGCTAATGCCTACACTTCGCTTCATATTGACTGGCTTTGCCCCTTTGGGCCCTGAAATTTCCACTTCACTGCAATGAATCTAAGGAAAGCCCGGCTCTGGAGGGAGGCTGGGTTGGCCAGCCTGAATTTTAGTATGTCTTAAGGCATCTATTTACTGAAAGGGAAAACTGTCTATAATATATTAAGTAGGAAAAACAAAGCTGAAAAAGTATATATGTTGTGATTTCTATTTTTTATATTAAAAAGCATACAAGTATTTGCTAAACAAAATATTCTGATGAGCATGTAACTAATGTGGTTTTCAGAGGTGATCCTTATCTTCTTATTACATACTTTCTTTTCTTATACTTCACCAATATTTGATCTTTTTTTTTTTCTTTCAGTGAGCATTCGCTACTTTACAAAAGAAGAAACAAGACTGTTTTGTTGAAGTGTGCCAATGTGAAAGGGTTAGTTAGTTATTATTGGTCTGAATACGTGGACTTTGGAGCCTGGCAGGTCAACAATGACACGCGGAAAAGCACACAACACAAGGGTGACTGCAGATTGCTGGGCAGAGGGCGTTTACTTTCTGGTCCACTGAATACCCCGCTCTGGATGCTAGCGGCCAAGTTTCCTCCTGTGTTATGTGGGAGGAAAAAGGATGTCAGAAACTTGTCTGCTAAAGGAAGAGTGTTATGGGCTGAATCATATCACGCTAAAATTCATACGTGGGAGCCCTAACTCATAGTACCTCAGAATGTGACTGGATGAGATAGGGTCTTTAAAGGGTGATTAAATGAAGGTGAGGCCATTAGGGTGGGCTTTAATCCAATCTGATTGGTGTTCTTATAAGAAGAGGAAGTAAGACTCACTGAGAGACCCCAGGAATGTGCACACACAGAGAAGAGACCATGTGAGGACCCACCCAGAAGGCAGCCAAGGAGAGAGGTCTCAGAAGAAACTAAACTCGTGGGTACCTTGATCTTAGACTTCTAGCTTCCAGAACTTGGGAGAAAATAAGTGTTTGTTGTTTAAGCTGCCCTGTCTGCTATTTTGTTATGGTAGCCCAGCAAATGAATACAAGGATACTCATGATTTTAAGTTTCTGCATGTTGCCATGTGTAAATATTTCAGCCCAAATATTTCACAAATGCTGCCTTTTTTTTTTTTTTTTTTTTGCCTTCACGGAGGACCTTTCTTCAACAAATATTTCATAAGAAAAACCTCATCAAAGAAGTTGTCTTTATTTATGATTTTGCATAATGATAGGTCTCCTGAATTTCATTTCATTCCTGTTCAGAACATAAATTTATCCAATTAAAAATAGGTGCTTTAGCAAATGATTCATCTTACAAGGTGAGATATTTCAAAACGCAATGACAGGATTTCAATGTTAATATTGTATACTAGCTGAGGGCTCATTGTTGAATGGGTTCAGAGCCCCCTGTGCTTATTAATAAAGGGTAATTTCAAGTCTCCCTGTTTGAAAATGATGCTTCCAATAACTGAATTTTAGAATTTAATTTGATAAATACTTTGCTTAAGGATGTTCATAAACACATGATAAAATGTACAATTTGGTCACCAGAGAAAAGCCAATTAAGATCACAATGAGATACCACTATATATATTAGGATAGATAAAATAAAAAAAGACTAAAAAAAAAAGACTTATGCTACCAAGTGTTGTTAAGGATATGATGCAATTGGAACTCATACACTGCTGGTGGGACTACAGTCACTTTGGCAAACAGTATGGCATCACCTTATAAAGTTAAAGATTCATTACCATACAACCATTCTTACAAGCAGAAATTCTTGAGGGGGTGCCTGGGTGGCTCAGCTGGTTAAACTTCTGACTTCAGCTTAGGTCATGATCTCATGGTTCGTGAGTAAGAGACCCACATAGGGCTCTCTGCAGTCAGCACAGAGCCTGCTTTGGGCCCCCTGCCTCCCTCTCTCTCTGTCCCTCCCTGATGCTTCCTCTCTGTCTCTCTCTGTCTCTCTCTCTCTTTCTCTCTCAAAAATAAATAAACATTAAAAAAAAAAAATTCTACTTCTGACTACCCAAAAGGAATGAAAACATATGTCCAAACAAAACATGTATATGAACAGTTGTGGCAACGTTATTCATAACAGCCCCCAACTGGAAACAAGTCAATGGTCCATAACTATGAATGGATAAACAAAAGTGGTACATCTGTAGCATGGAAAACTATGCAGCAATAAAAAAAGAGAAAATATTAATACAGACAACAACATGGATACATCTCAAAAATATTAAACTAAATGAAGTCAAAGACAAAGACTCCAAACTGTATGAATCTATTTAAATGAAATCCTATAATATGCAAAACTATAATGATAAGAAGCAGATCAATGGTTGCCTGGGGCCAGGGTAAGGGAGATAAATGAATACAAAGGGCCTGAAGACATTTTTTAGGGTGGAGAATATTCTTTTCTTTGTTTTCTTTTTTTTTAAGTAGGCTTCACATTCAGCGCAGGACCCAATGCAGGGCTTGAACTCATCACGCTGAGAACGAGACCTGAGCTGAGGTGAAGACTCGGACACTTAACTGACTGAGCCACCCAGGCACTGCTGTTCTACTTTCTCGACTGTGGTGGCAGTTAAATGATTGTCCAAAATTACAAACCTTCATCAAACCGGACACTTAAAATTAGTGTAAATAACACCTTAACAAAAAAGAGGAAAAAATTTCCAGTTATCTTTGAACAACACACAATCAACATTTAGAGGACTTGCTTACAAAAGAAAAGTTTGATACACTGGTATCAGGCAAGCAGATTTGATGACAGATTCAGTATCAGATCACTTAGTCGCTGGTTTGCAGCCTCAGGTGTTCCCCAGGTAAAATTCAAAAACGGGCCTCCATTTGCAAAGGTTGAGAGGAAAATGAAGAAAGAGGAAGGCCGTTCCTGATCGCTAGCTGGCAGTTTTATTTTTTTTTTTATTTTTTTTATTTTTAAAAAATTTTTTTTCAAACGTTTATTTATTTTTGGGACAGAGAGAGACAGAGCATGAACGGGGGAGGGGCAGAGAGAGAGGGAGACACAGAATTGGAAACAGGCTCCAGGCTCCGAGCCATCAGCCCAGAGCCCGACGCAGGGCTCGAACTCACGGACCGCGAGATCGTGACCTGGCTGAAGTCGGACGCTTAACCGGCTGCGCCACCCAGGCGCCCCTAGCTGGCAGTTTTAATAAACAAAGCAAACAAACCTACAAAACTTGTCTTGGGCAGCAGTAAGATGAGTTGATCTCTGCACCTGCTTGCCAAAATCTTGGGGGTTTATATGGAGGCCTTACTCTTTTTTTTTAATTTTTTTTAAAGTTTATTTATCTTAAACAGAGAGAGAGAGAGACAGAGCATGAGTGGGGAAGGGGAAGAGAGAGGGAGACACCGAATCTGAAACAGGCTCCAGGCTCCGAGCTGTCAGCACAGAGCCCAACGCAAGGCTCGAACTCACAAACTGCGAGATCATGACCTGAGCCAAAGTTGGACGCTCAACCAACTGAGCCACCCAGGCGCCCCTAGAGGTCTTACTCTTATGTAGAGTCCAGGTTGGCTCAACAACACCTTACTCTCTCCAGGTTGCTTCCTTCAAGTGGCTCCAGCTGTGGCAACAGTGAGCCGAATATATAGAGGGGAGGGAGGGAGGTGCCTCAGATCGGCTGTGTCCACCTGTGCCCGTGGGTGAACCAGGTCACGTCCTCTTGATGACCTCCTCCAACATGAAGACATCCCATTAATTCTTTGAGAAAGTAGGATCTTCATTTTGAAGATGATAAAGCAGGGCGAGTTAACAGGAGTAACTTGCCCAAGGAAATAGCTAGTAAGTGGTGAGGCTGGGATTCAATTAGGTCCCAGTTTAGAATTCACTCCCATCTACTA